AAAAGTTTTTAGTAATATCTGGGTTTGGTGGCACATGCCTGTAATCCCAGCTGCTCAGGAGGCTGAGGCAGGAGGATCATGAGTTCAAAGCCAGCTTCAGCAAAAGCATCTCAGTGAGACCCTGTCTCTAAATAAAACACAAAATATGGCTGGGGAAGTGGCTCAGTGGTCCAGGGCTCCCGAGTTCAATCCCTGGTACCACCAAAAAAGAAAAAAGAAAAAAGTTTTAGCAAGCTCTGGGACTATTGAGTTGAAAGGAAAACTAGCTTCAAGATATATTTGTACACTCTTAGTAAGTGAAATACTGGTTGCCAGGGCAGAAAGAGGAACAGGGAAAGGGAGTCATTCAGTGAGTATAGGGTTTCAGTTCTGCAGAATGGAAAAACCCTAGAGAACTGTGGCACAGCCATGTGTGTGCTGTAAGTCTACTGTACTATACGGTAAAAAATGGTTTTGATGGTAAATTTTGATGTGGTGTGTGTGTGTGTGTGTGTGTGTGTGTGTGTGTGTGTGTGTGTGTGTGTATGTGTGTGTTTAACCACAATTTAAAAAGCAAGCTTGCCTCTTATATCTCATCACTTGGCTAGCAAGCTAGCAATGAGGTTGGCTCAGGCTAGGCCCTTAATAAATGGAACCAGAAGGAAAGCAGACCTAGGAATGGAAGGAATCAAAGTAGACTCAAAGTTCCTTATGTAGAGAACCACTGATATTGCCATGCATTCCAAATATTCCAATCTTAGCTTAGCTTTATTGTTTTAGGAATCCTTATTCCTCGATGATCAGGTTTGCCTGGCATACCAAGACAAACTAGATAAGGATGGAGAGAGAGAAAGAGAGAATTTTTTAATATTTATTTTCTAGTTTTCGGCAGACACAACATCTTTGTTTGTATGTGGTGCTGAGGATCAAACCCGGGCCGCACGCATGCCAGGCGAGCGCGCTACCGCTTGAGCCACATCCCCAGCCCCGGATGGGCACTTATCAATGAGCCATATATAGAGAGAAAGGAGCTAAATCTTAGTTGAGGGTGGGAAAATGGCCTGAAGGACATTTTTTTCCTTTTTTTTTTTTTTTTGTGGTTCTGATCTGAGGACTGAACCCAGGGCTTCTCATACACCTATACCACCAACTCCTGAAGGTCCACTTTTTAAAAGATGTGGTAGAAACAAGCCAAATCCAGTAGGGTATAAACTGAGAGTAGTTTCATAGTTCTTGGGAAAGTTCTTAATCATTTTTTCTCTTAATCTTAATCTTTTCTCATAAAGATATGTTAAATATAAGCACAGGTCAAAATGTCCTTACATAGGGCAACATAGGGCAAAAGTTTCATGACCCCAGACTTGGCAATGATTTTTTGGATATTACACCAAAGTACAGGCAACAACAACAACAAAAAAAAAACAGACAAGTTGAACTTCCTCGAAAATTTTAAAAATTATTATTCATAATAGCTAGAAAGATGGGCTGGGGATGTAGCTCAGCGGTAAAGTGCTTGCCTACCAATGTGAGGCCCTGAGTTCAATCCCTAAGACTGCAGCAGCGGCTAGGAGCTAGAAGACGGAAACAAGCCATACACAATGCTGCATACCTACAATAAAAGCTACTCAGGAGGCTAAGGCAAGAAGATTACAAATTAGAGGTCAACCTCAGCAATTTAAATCCTATCTTAGGCTGGGATTGTAGTTCAGTGGTGGAACACTTGCCTAGCAAGTGTGAGGCACTGGGTTCAATTCTCAGAACCACATTAAAATATAGATATTGTGTCCATCTACAACTAAAAACATTAAAAGGAAGAAAGATTCCATCTCAAAATTGAAAAAATAATGGAAAGGGCTGGGATGTAGTTCAGTGGTAGAATGCCCTAGATTCAATCCCTAGTACCTAAATAAATAAATAAATAAATGGTGGAAACAACCTACATGTCCATCAATGCAATGAATGAATTATTATTCAGTCTTAAAAAAATAAATTCCGATACATGCAACAACACGGAAGAACCTTGAATACACTATGCTACAAGAAATAAGAAGTCACAAAATATATGATTCCACTAAGACACCTAGCATAGTCAAATTGTTTACTGGCAACAGTGGCTACCTGTTGAGGATCATAAAGAATGGTGTTTATTATTTGATGACTAAAGAGTTTCAGTACACAAGGATGAAAAAGTTCTAGAGAGACAAATAATGATGGCTGCACAATGGTGTAAATGTATTTAATGCCACTGAACGTATTCTTAAAATTTTAAAAATGGTAAATTTGGGCTAGGGATGTGGCTCAAGCAGTAGCGCGCTCGCCTGGCATGCGTGTGGCCCGGGTTCAATCCTCAGCACCACGTACAAACAAAGATGTTGTGTCCGCCGAAAAACTAAAAAATAAATATTAAAAAATTCTCTCTCTCTCTCTCTCTCTTTAAAAAAAAAAGTACATGTATGAAGACTTGAATTGGGTGTCAACATACTTTAAAAAAAAAAAAAAGAATAAACAAATCTCTTGCCAGAAGAAAACTGCAAGCTGGGCAGGCATATGTTTTTAAAAAGCCCTATATTGTCTACTAACTAAGTGCTATAAATTCCAGTTAACACCTATCCATGGTCTTTAGGTTTATTTTAGGAGTACTTTAGAATCTATTAGGAATAAAATTCTTTTTTTTTTTTTTTTTTTTTAAAAAGAGGGGGGGGGGGGGGGGAGGGGGAAGACAATTTTTTATTTTTTTTTTAAAGAGAGAGTGAGAGAGGAGAGAGAGAGAGAGAGAATTTTTAATGTTTTATTGTTTAGTTCTCGGCGGACACAACATCTTTGTTGGTATGTGGTGCTGAGGATCGAACCCAGGCCGCACGCATATCAGGCGAGCGCGCTACCGCTTGAGCCACATCCCCAGCCCAGGAATAAAATTCTTAATTTTTTTTTTTCTTACTCATTCTGCGGCTAACAGCTGCAGGGCCCACTACATGCCAAAGCCAGCTCTTTGAAAAGCTGCGAATACTCTTAACATTAAGTGACATTAGCATTAATGTTCATAAGTGAAGGGAGAGAAGTGCTCCAATAATGTTGGAGATAAGCAAGGCAGTCAAATAACTCTAATCTGATAGTGCTGAGAATAAAAACAAGTACACTATAATGCTGTCTGTCATTCAGCACTCTTCAAAGACAGTTAGGGAACAGAAGCAACAGCTATTTTAAGGGTGGTTTTGAAAAGGGTCCCAGAATAGTGTCACCCTTCCTGCCCCAACCCCCAAGTGAAAAGGAATGTTAAAGGGAGGTTTACCTAAGTATACAAAAACTCCATGACAGAAAGAACTATACTTATTCATTGTTGATCCCTACTACCCAGCACCATATCTTGTATTACAGCAGGCAAGTAATTATTATCAGTTGATTTACTTTCCCATTCTTTTATAGGTTCTCTTCCTCTCCACAGGACTCACTCCATCTCTGGCTCATGGACTCTTTTTGAGAGGCACTTTCATCACTTCATTTAACTTTGAAAGAAGTTGGAGGAGGGTGAGGACATGTGCTTGCTAATCATCCTTTTCCAGATTGTCTCATGCACCAGAATGAGCTTTTATTATTGGTCTGTGGCTGTTTCTGCTGGAGAAAGATTTCAGCCTGACCTTCCCAAGCTGCTAGGGATGAATGCTGCACGTGGCTGACAGTGAAAATGTGTCTTCCTATTTTTTAAAAAAGCTTTTAGGCTAACCAGAGCTCACTGATGTAGGAAAGTCATCCCTTTTCTCACTGTTCAGAATTCAAGGTGTTGCATTCTTCTGCATAAAAATGACATAGAAACTGACACAAATGGGTCCAAGAGAAAAAGATAGCAGCAACAGGAAGCACCTCACAGAGAGCACAGCATCAAAGAATAGGACTCCGGACTGCTCTATAGGCAGAAAGGAAAAAAAATAAAAAATAAAGGCCATTTATAACAGAGTTTTAAATGTGAGGATGGATTCACACAGCTGGCCTCACAAAAGAGAACAAATATGTCAAAGGGAACAACTGACAGACTAATAGAGTACTATCCATCTGGCTGAGGAAAGAAGCACTGGGGAATACTGAGAAGCCTGTCTGTTAGGAAAAAACTTGCCTTGTGCTTCATTGGGTGAACTGAATAGCTTTTAGGAACACTGAACACATGGTCATACCATAGCTGCTGGCTGGTCCTGTCAGGAAGAAGCTCAGAAAAGGGGTACAATGATGCATTGGCAAGCAAGGGAGAAAGGAGCATATGTGGTCTTCTTATTGGCTTGGAATCCATACCCTGGCCCCTCCAACTTGGGAGGAGGATGAGAAGAAAGGAAGGGGAATCATGTGAAGAAGATATCTTATTTTCTGCTTTTAAAAATGGACTCAAGTGTCTCAGAATGAAACATCAGGTTCAACCCTATGCCATGCTAATGCCCCATCTGTACTTTTATATAATGTAGAGCTGAGTGCAGGCACTTTGGGAGAAGGGGAAATCAGGCCAGATTCAAGTAAAGCAAAACACAAGCTCTCTGCATTTCCATCTCAGTCCATACCATAAAAAAGCCTGCTCAGAAAATAATTGCTCAAGGCAAAGGGAACTCAATTACTAAGGAAAATCTGTCCCAAAAAGGGCTCATGTTTTAATGAGCCCAAAAGCTTCAAATTAAGCTGAACTAAGGGTTTTTCTAATTGGCAGTTTTATACATTTCTAAGATCTCCTTTCTTACTTTCAAAAATCAAAAATGACTCTAAGATTTTAAAAAGTAATGATTTATCACCCACTCTAAAACAATAATTCACCAAATTTTCAACTATATTTCTCCTATGTAATTAAACAAACCGTGCAGATGGCACAAATGCAGAAGATATTACTTGCTATTTTAAGTACTCTCAAGCAATCCTGTACTAATTCCTCTCAAACGGCCTGGCTCTTGCCATTCCTGTTCAGTCACAGAATCACCTGCCACCAGAGAGAAGGCAACTGATTGATCCTAGCCACCAACTAGGTCACTCTGAGAAGAGTAATGGCTTACCTGCTCCTCTGACAGTTGGGATATGTGATTCACAGCAGCATAGGACTCAATTTTGGGGTTAAAGTGGTTGATGATGGCTCTGAAACAAAGAATTAAAATTAATATAGTACCAGATGGGAGAAGAGGATAAACTGGTTAAAAACAAGGATTGAGTACCCTCTGGCTTAGAGTACTAGATCATGGGAGTGATTGTCAGAAGGTAATTGTCTTCTTACTAATCATGAGATTACAAATGGAAGTGAATTAACAACTTTGAATAGGAAGAGTTTAATAATTTATTAGAGGACAGAATCAAGCATCTCTGCTATGCAAATGAAGCAGAAAAATCCACAACCAAACAAGCTAAACAAAGAAAAACCATGTGAGTCCTTCAGATAAGAAACAGGACCAAGGATGCTGGCTGCCAGAGGGCCCTTATGTTTCAATCAAAAAGGGAAGTTGTGAGGGGAGTGAAAGAAGGAGTGGGGCAGTGGGGATGGGAAGGACAGTAGAATGAGACAATACATTATTACCCTATATACATGTATAATTACACTACTGGAGTGATCTGCACCATGTACAGCCAGAGGAATGAGAAGTATGCTCCATTTGGGTACAATATGTCAAAATGCATTCTACTGTAAAATAAATACATAATAAACTTTTTCTCTTTACAAAAAAAAAAAAGAAAAGAAAGGGAAGTTGTTTTTCTCAGCTCTGACTTGGGAGAACAAGACTCTGAGAATGTTGGTTCAATAAATAGGCTAAATACAATCTCTCAAGAAACTCACCTTCATCAAGGCTACAAACAATGTTCACACTTTTTAGTATATAGTTTTAATCTCTGTTTTCCACCCCCTTGGTCATTACTAGGGATTGAATCCAAGGTGTTCCACCACTGAAGTACATTCACAGTCCTTTATATCTATCTATCTATCTATCTATTTTTTTAGTTGTAGATGGCCACAATCTCTTTATTTATTTATTTTTATGTGGTGCTGAGAATTGAACCCAGGTCCTCACAGGCTCGAGGCAAGGGCTCTACCACTGAACTACAACCCCAGCCCAAGTCCTTTTAATTTTTATTTTTTTTTAATATTTATTTTTTAGTTGTAGTTGGACACAAAGGTATTGTACCTTTATTATTATTTTTTTATTTTATTTTATTTTTATTTTACTTTTTTACCAAACGATTTATTATTTTTTTTAGTCATACATGACAGCATAATGTATTTTGACATATAATACACACATGGAATGTACATACATCCATCATATTGTCTATTCTATTTTGTTGCCCTTCCTATCCCTCCTACTCCTCCCCTCCTCTCCCATCCTTTCTCTCTATCCAATCAATTATTATTTTTAATTATATTTTTAGGTGGTGCTGAGGATCGAACCCAGGGCCTCACATAGCACTCTACCGCTGAGCCACAACCCCAGCCCCCCCTTTTTATTTTTTATATTGAGATGTGGTCTCATTAAATTGTTGAGGCTGGCTTCAAATCTGTGATTCTCATTGCCTTAGATTCCAGAGTAGTCAGGATTAGAGGTGTGCACTACTGCATTCAGTTCAACCCCAAATTTTAATCCCAACCATTCAACCCAAAATCTGAGTTATCATTTTTCAAACACCCCTGCTGCATCGCTCCCTAGCTTCCAAGGTTACCAAGTCTTATCAGCCCCACCTCAAAAATGTCTAAAATCTGAAATAAATATATTTCCCTGAAACCAATATCTTGAGATAAATTCTTGTCATTTCTAGCCAGGTGCAGCAGAAAGAATATTGGGTTTTAAATCAAGGTTTCACAGGAGTTCATTCTGATATAAATAAGTAATTAAGAAAATGGGTAAAAGAACCAAGTCTTTCTCTCTCTCTCTCTCTCTCAATTTCTGTACTGGGAATTGAGCACAAGGCCTTGCAAATGCTAGGCAAACACTCTACCTCTAAGCTACGTCCCCAACCCAAACCAAATCCTTCTAATATAATAATTCAAGTAACATGTGTAGATATTCTCTCCTATAGGAGGTAAAGTTTAAATTCCATCCTTAAGGAAGAGCTAGATTTAGTGCCTTATTTAGGATAGCAAAAGGACAAAACAGTAATTTTACAGTAAAGAAACCTAGCAAATGCTAATTTAATCAAATGATAAAAGTTAACATCACCAGTGATATCATGGGAATTTCACGTAACCCCTATTGTAATATCATGAGAAGGGCACTTCACCTCTGTTGTTTTCTTCCAAAAGCTATAACCCTAATCTAAACGTAAGAAAAATATCAGACAAATCCAGGCAGGGGACATTCCACAGCATCTCAGTCCTCCTTAAGATTGTGAATGTCCTGAAAAATAAGACTTGAGAAATTGTCACAGACTAGAGGACACTGGGGAGATACAACAACTAAATATAGCATGGTACCCTGGACTGGATCCTGTACATAGAAATAGAATATTAATAAATAAACTGGTGAAGTCTAAGTAAAATACAGAGTTTTAGTTAACAGTGATGTAACAATGCAGTTTCTTTTGTTGACAGATGTACTATGTTAATATAAGATGAGTAAAAGTAGGCCAAGGGTACATAGGAACTCTGTACACTATCTTTGCACTTTTTTTTTTGAGAGTACTTATTATATTTTATTTTGCATGCTCACAAGTTGTGGGAATGTTTTTAACAAAAAATGTAGTAAAACACTCATGAAATAGATGTGTGGTATTTTTTAAAATTTTAAAAATAAAGTACATGAAGTATAGTATCAATTTCTTTTTCTTTATAAATCTAAAATTATTCCAAAGGAAAAAGTTTATTAAAATGTGTGTGCATGCCAGTGGCACACATCCCAGCAGCTTTGGAGGCTAAGATGGGAGGACTGAGAGTTCAAAGTCAGCCTCAGCAACAGCGAGACGAGAAGCAACTAAGTGAGACTCTGTCTCTAAATAAAATACAAAATGGGCTGGGGATGTGGCTCAGTGGTCCTGAGTTCAATCCCTGGTACCCTCCTCCGTAAGAAAAAAAAAAAAAAAAGTGTGTGCATGACAGAGCATAACAGAAATCAACATTTCCTTTTAATATGATATCCATTGATAGTAAAAAAATTATAGACCCATTTTATCTAATGCAAGTAATAATAGTAATAAGGCAGAAGCTTAAAAAATATCATAGCTTGTTATTTTATTTTATTTTCACAATAAGACATGGTCTTATTATGTTGCCTGGGCTGGTGTTGAACTCCTGGGAGATCCTTCCATCTCAACCTCCCAAGTAGCTGGGACTATAGGTGTGCACCACCATGCCTGAAAAATCATAATTTGGCTGGTTGACCATTTGTTATTCTGATTCTTGGCAAACCATGTATCTCACCAAAGGAAAAAGTTGTAACAATCACACTTAGCGTAGTACCTGGGAATAGTACATTATAGGCATATAATAAAGTTATGCTGAAAGAAGCTGGGAGCAATGGTACTCTCCTATAATCCCAGCTACTCAGAAAGCTGAGGCAGAAACTTCGAGTTCAAGGCCAGCCTGGACAATTCAGCAAAACCCTATCCCAAAATAAAAAATAAAAAAGGGCTGAGGATATAGCTCAGTGGCAGAGCATCAAGGTTCAATTGAAACCTAAAAAAGTATTGGGGGAAAAAAAAAGTTTGCTGAAAGAATGACTAAACCTTGAGAGGGTTCTTACAATATTTATATGATATATAAAATAAATATATAACATTTATGTAACTGTATATACTATAATAAAAACCTGGAAAAGCAATGTCAAATGTTTGGCACACAGCTGGTGCTCAATAAATATTCAATGAGTGAATAAATCAAACAGGATAGAAATGGGTCAGGAGAAGAGTTCTGAAAACTAATTTTTCTAGAGAATAACAAGAGGAGCAGACATAATATCTGTCTGTTAAGACTAAGGCTTGGGGGTACTGGGTTGTGGCTCAGTGGTAGAGAACTTGCCTCCCATGTGTGAGGCACTGGGTTGGATCCTTAGCATCACATTAAAAAATGAATAAAATAAAGATATTGTGCCCATCTACAACTAAAAAAAATATTAGAAAAAAAAGATGAGGCTTGGGGGCTGGGGCTGTAGCTCAGTGGCAGAGTGCTTGCCTAGCATGCGTGAACACTGGGTTCAATCCTCAGCACCGTATATTTGTTATTATAAAAATAAACAAATAAAATAAAGGCATTCTGTCCATCTACAACTACAAAAAATATTTTAAAAAAAGAAAAGAAAAAAGATTGAAGCTTGGTGTAAATCCAAGGTGGAAAAGAATTTTGTAACCAAACATTTTGTCAAATATGTTTTTCACTCAGAGAAACACTCAGAGGGTGAAGTTTGAGTTTACTGTCAGGGATGACCACAGCCTAGAAGCAAATGAACCTGATTGATGCTTCAAAATAAAAAGTGATCTATTTGGACTTCGCTGAGTTTAAAAGATTTTGTGTGGCAAAAACCCATCAAGAAAGTGAAAAGAGGACCTACAGAATAGGAGAAAATATTTGCAAGTCCATTGTTTGATAAGGAATTTAAAGCCAGAATATATAAAGAATTCCTACAATTCAACAATAAAAAAGAAAGTAACCTAATTATTTAAAGGAGCAAAAGATTTGATATATGTGAAAATACGCTCAACAACATTAGTCATTAAGGATTTTAAATGCAAATCAAAACCATAAGATAGCCAGGCCTAAGGCCATTGCAAATCTGCCCCAGAGGCAGAGGCGGAGGCAGGAGGATCTTGAGTTCAAAGCCAGCCTCAGCAATTTAGCTAGGTGTTAAGCAACTTAGTGAGACTCTGTCTCAAAATAAAGTACTAAAATAGGGCTGGGGATATGGCTCAGTGGTTGAGTACCCCTGGGTTCAATCCCTGGTCCTGAAAAAACAAACAAACACCAAAACCCATAAAATACCATTTCATACCCACCGGACACTAGTATAGTGAAAAAAAAAATAGTAGGTGTTAGCAAGGATTTGGAGAAATTAGCATCTCCTATATGACTGGTGGAACTGTAAAATGACACAGCTTCTTTGGAAAATGGCTCAGCAGTTCCACAGATGTTAAACAGAGTTATCACATGACCTAGTCCATCCCTA